TTTTCGTTATTTAGAAAAAGAAATTGGATTTTGAGTTCTTTAATACTTCGCTCTGGCTATCTATTAAGACAAGGGGAGTTTAATTCTTTTTTCTATAATTGGAGAAAATACATCCCCAAATATATGATCCTAATAGAGCACTTAATACTGAAATTAATACGAGGGAATAAATGGAAGGACCTATGTGATTTTGCTTGAGGGAGTAAATGTACAGTATAATCTAAAGAAAGCAAATATACGTAGTTTTTTAATAGGTGTGGGACTTGGATCTGACCTGGATCTGACCTAGACTAGTGTTAGAAAAATCGAACCGGAATTGTTAACCAAACATGGGCCAAAAGCGGTTACTGGATACTAATCGTACTAATCGGTAAACCGGGCAAGTTTTGGACGGTCAAAAAAATGTTAAAAACAAAACAATACAAAAAATAATTTAAAAATAAATATAAAAAGTATATTTAAAGCATAAATTAAACAAAGCAAATCCAAATGAATTTGAAAATTAATGAAAACAATAGATTTTAAAGAACCAATTTGTGCCCAAGAATATTTTTGAAATTTTCTAAAAAAAAAGATGGAAAAATGTAAAAAGAAATATTAACGGCCTTGTTTTTCAATCTTTCCCAAACTGATGAAAATTATTAAAAAATACATTAAAAATAAAATTCCTTTTTTATAATTTTATATAAATTTCTTGAATTTTTTTTTAAATACCCGGCCGGTTCATCAAAACCAGTCGAAACCAAAACCAACCAGTAACCAGTTCTGATCTAACTGAGCGGTTCCGATTTAAACTGCTTGATTTTTCCTAGACTGACCTAGACCTGATCAAGTCTAAAGTCCCCGTATCCAGACCCGAACCCAAATTGAATATGGGGTACTCAGACCCGATATGAAAATCTACTTTTAACTACCTTGACGTGGACCCAGATAGACTACTTGGACCCAATTCCTAACCCAGACCCGAATGGGGTCCAGGCTATTGGACCCAAACCCAACCCGTCGAGTCCAACTCCTGGA